CCCCTGCTGCTGCTGTTGCATACATTATTAAATATTCTAATATTGTCTTTTCTTCTATAAATTCATCAGATGTTTCATTAATATTCTTATTAATTGGTCCAATTTGTAATGTTTTATAATCAATTATTTTAGTCGATTCTTCAATTATTGTTCCATCATTTTCTAGATTTTCATTTGTATTTGTATTTATATCATTCATATTATTATTATTCATATTACTAGTAGTAGTAGTAATATTTAAATTATAATTATCATCATATTCATTTGATCTTAATTCATTTAAAACATTTCTATTTGCTAATTCATTTCTTAATAAATGTCTATTTGTACCACCTTCACTTAATAATTTTTCAGCTTGAGATGAAAAGTAAGCAGAAGTTACAGTTGATTTTTGTCCACTAAAAGCACTATTTGTATTTCCTTCAGTAATATGACCTGATGATGAAGATAAATTAGTTGAATCTCTAATATAGGCTGGAATATCATAATCTAAATCAACTACTGTAACTTGACATAAATTCTTTGTAATAGCACAAACAGGACATATTATTGTACGTTGATAGGTTGTATCTTTAGGATGTTTCTTCCATGAAAAACTTGTATAAACTTTACCACATAATTTACATTCTGCTCCAAGTGTATATCTTCTCATTTTAATAAATTTACCATCTCCTAAACATTCCTTTCTTATTATTGGAAATTCAATAGGATCAGATGTTTTATCTGAATTACCATTGTACAATGTTGATGTTGATAATGGAACGGAAACTATTGATGAGAGAGACATTTTTTTTATAAAATATATTTTATTTGATGATGATGGTTGTGATTGGATCATAATGATGTGCCAAAGATAGAACCAAAAGGCTGGAAAGAAGCCTCCAACAAGTTGAACATGTTGCAAATTTAAAATCATCTTTTTTTATTCAAATGATAAATCTTCTAATAAATCTTCTGCATCAAAACTTGTAACATTTTTAGATTGTTTTCTAGGTGTTTGATAATTATTACTATTATTATTATTATTAGAATATCCATTTTTAGGAGATTCCATTTGATTAAATTTGTTACTTTTCATTTGTTTTTTTAATTCTTCTATTTGTAATTGTAATTTCTTATTTTCTTCATTTAATTTTCTATTTTTATCTTTTTCCTTTTCAAATAATTCTTCAATTTGATTTTTATTTGTATTATATTTTCTAATGGCTTCCTTTTTAGAATTTAATAAAATAATAAATTGTGAATATAATTCCTTTTCCATTTTATCTTTTTCTTCAATTACTTTTTTAGATTGTTCTATACATTCATTATAATGTTTTGATTGTTTTGTTAATTTTTGAATTATTTTTTCATCATTTTCTTTACATATAATTAAATATCTAAATAAAGATAAATGTCCTGTTTTAGTATTTGTTGATTTTATTAATTCTATATTTGATAATATATAATCACCTGATGGATTTACAATCATACTAATTATAAAATTTATATTTCCATTATTTAAATAATTTAATCGATATTTAAATTTTGATGAATCTTGTTTTACAAGTGATGAATGAATTATTTGAAATAAATTATATTCATTATTATTAGATGATTTAGTAGAATTAGTATTATTATTAATAGTATTATTATTAGTATTATTATTAGTAGTGAATGATGATAATGATGATGTATTATGAATAGAGTTATGTTGGTGAGTATTAGGCTTAAATTGAATATCATGATGATTATAGTACATGTTCTCTCCATCGGAGTGTGATTTTAATCTTTTTACAAGTTTCACTATTATTATTAGTGGTGGTAGAAGTACATTGAGTAAGTGAGGAGGTGAGAGAAGAGTTTGTTGTTGTGGAAGTTGTGATTAATTCACTATAAATAACAAAGGCTTGACCATCCACTTCAAAATATGCAACGGTTTCTGAACTCATTTTTTTTGGCGCAATTTTTTAAATTACAAATTGGCGGGAGCTATTCTCTTTCCAATATAATTTCTTTGTTGATCAATTTCAATATTGAAATTTGAAAAACAACTTTGATCAAAACTTTCAAAAAAAATGTCATCATTATCAATGGAAGGCTTTTCATCCTCCGATGTTGAATCAACAATACAATTAAATATTGATAATATTCATAATAATACTATTAATTATTTTAAATATTTACCAAGTGATATTATTATTTACATGATTGAATTTATGACAATTCCAATTAAATATTTACCATCTATATTTTTAATTAATAAACATTGGAATGAATCTACTTTAGAAAATATACATTTTTGGAAACGATATTTAAATGGAATATTTTATATCATTGTTAGTAAAGATTTAACAGATAAATTATCATTTGATGGATTTTATTCAAAATACTTGAATAGTAAAACTAATTTTCAATATTTAGTTAAAAAAAATAAATTTTTAAAAGAAATATTAAAAACAAAAATGAAATTTCATAAAATTATTGAAAATGAAAATTTAGAAATTAATTTTGTAAAATTAATTTCATCTGAAGTTTTAAATGATTTAAATTTGTATATTAATTTTATTTTTAAAAAAAATACATTTTTAGGAAATAAAAAATTGATAAAATTTCAAAATTTTAATTATTTTGAAATTGATTTTTATGAATATAATTTAAATATACTAAATAATGGTGATAAATGCATTTCTAATAATTGTGAAGCATATTTTGAATATTTAATTAAATATAGTTATGAAATTAAAAATATTAATTTAATTATTTTATTTTTTAATAAATTTTTCAATAACAAGATGAAATTTATTAAAAATATTGGTTTTTTAATTAAATATTGGCAAATATGTAAATATGATTTTAATACGATTATTAAGAATTGATATTCCTGAAAGTACAATAATATTAATAGTTGATAAATTAATATCATATTTTAAACCAAAACTAAATAAGGAAATTAGATTAATGCCAGAAAGGTTTATAATTAGAAATATTTCTTCAAAACTTTGTGATTCAGAAAATTTATTTAAATATTTAATTAGTAATTTTATATTATCAGAAAATTTAATTAAAAATATTTTATCAAGAACTAATAATTTATTTAATTTATTATTAATAATTTACAAATATAGTAAACAAGATATTATTTATATATATTTATTAGACTATTTTTCAAGTTGTGAAAATGTTAATCAAGTTAAAGAAATGATTGAATTAATTTATAATAATTATAAATTAAAAAATAAATCAATTTCAAAAATGTTAAAAGAATTGGAAAAGGAAATTAATTTATTTAGAACAATTTTAAAATCAAATGATAAAGAAGTATTTAAATATATTTATAATTTATATTTAAATAATTTAAAAAAAGATAAATTTAATTATATTATTAGAAAATCCTATTTTGAATTTGTTGGATTTTCATCAAATATTGATTTTGATAAATTACTATATTTAGAAAATGAATATAATATTACACCTATTAAATGTTATAAATCATATGATGAAGATGATTTTTTATTTTTTAATTATGAATCTTATAAAATTGAATTTGAAATGGCAAGTGAAAATTTTAAAAATTGTAAAATTAAATTTCTTAAAAATTGTAAAATTATTAAAATACATCCAATTGTATGTTACATGGTAAAAACATTACAAATTAATCAAATTCATGAAGAATTAAATCAATTAATTGATAAATATGGTAATGATCAAGTAAATATTCCATTTTTATTAGATTGGAATGAATTTAATAATAATACAAAAGATTTAATTATTTATCATAATTTTCAATTTTCTACTTTTAGATATATTATTAAATCAATGAAATTAAAAGAATTTATTAAAAAATTTCAATCCAAAGATTTTTCATTACTCTATGAAATTGAACATAGATGAATATTCATTCTTTTTTTAATTATTATTATTCTAATTATTCTAATTATTCAATTATTATTATAATATATTATAATATTACAATTTATTTGATTGGTTGTAATATGTCATATCATTCAATTTTACAAAGAAAGGGAAATTGGTGAATTTTTTAAAGTGATGACAAAAAAGGCTAAAAACATTGCATATGAATAAACAAGGCAACTCTCAATCATTTTTATCGCATAATATATTATTTAAAAAAAAGCCTTCAAACGTGCTTTTCAAGTGTTGCACTAGTTGATTGTATTTTCAGAGTCTTCCTGTGTTGCACGGAATTTATTACTCCTACCCATTTAATAACAACAAAATTATTCATCACTAATATCACCACCATCATCATCATCTATATTATTTATTATTATTATTATTATTTTAATCATGAGTGATCAATTTCCTGTATCATCATCATCAAATAATGAAGAGACAACATTTAATATAACAGAAGATCAAAGAAAGAATAATCCCGATAATAATCCTATTAGAGATCAACAAGTAATTGAAAAGAAAATTAAAAAACTACAAGAAATTCATCAAGATTGGCATGTTGATAATAATTGTACTTGTTGTAAACAAGAATTTCTAAACAATACTATTAATAATAATAATAACACTATTAACAATACTAGTAATACTAATAATACTGATAATAATACTACTGATAATAACAATGTAACATTACCATCATCTGATCAAGTCAACCATCACCATCATCCTTCTATCATAGATTCTAATAATTCTCATAATAATAATTCTCATAATAATTCTAATAATTCTAATAATAAAATAATAATAACAACAGATAATGTACATTTATCAGGTGAAAATGTTAAAAAAGAATATAATACAGATAGAGGATTATATTGGGATTGGTTATCAATGGATGATGTTGGTAAAAAATGTTTCTATTATAAAAATGATCCATTCAGTAGTTTGAGAGAAGAATATTCAAATATTTCAAAATTCTTTTCAGAATTAGAATCAAATTATGATTTAATAAGGAGTGAATTGGATGAATTATTAAAACAAGAAGAAAATGATTTTCAAGCATGGCCTGAAACAATTTGTAAAACTAAAGGTAAATGGAAAGTTTATCCATTGGGATTTGCATTTGGACGTGATTTAACAAATGAACCAACAAAATGTCCAAAATCAGTTCAATTACTTTCAAGATTGAATAAGGAATATAATGTTCATATTACAACTGCTGGTTTTAGTTGTTTAAGTTCAAATTGTTATATTTCTGCACATAAGGGATATTGTGGATATAGTAATCATTGTTTAAGAGTTCATATGGGTTTAATTGTTCCTTCATCCAATCATCATGCATGTGCTATTAGAGTTGGTAATATAAGACATTGTTGGAATGAGAGAGTTGTATTTGGATTTGATGATTACATTACACATGAAGCATATAATTTCACAGATCAAGATCGTTACATTTTATTATTGGATATTCGTTTTAGAGAAGTTGAGAAATTTAAATTTTATGATAAGAATTCAAATCAATCTTTCATTCCAAATGTATCAATTGATTCTAAATTAATTCATTCAAATTTAATGTTAAATCAACAAAAAGAACAATCAGATATTAATAATAATACTAATAATACTATTGATAATACTATTGATAATAATATTGATAATTCAAATACAAATGATACAAGTCAATCAAATGATGATGATTTGAAATGGAAAGGTATTTCATCATCAACACTTTCAAATTCAACAGCTCCAAAAACATTTGTCACACTTTCTAAATATGTTACCAATGATATAGAATGTTTGAATGCAAACTATAGTGACGAATTAAAAGACATGTTAAAGAATGTTGTTGATAAAAATTAAAATAAATTATTTATTCTCCAAGTATTTGTATTTGAATATTATTTGGTGGTTGAATAATTACAAAATTGTCAAAGATATTTTCAACATCAAAATAATAACAAATAATAAAAATGAGTGAACAACAACAAGATTTTAATCCATCAACAATAATAAATGATGATCATGACCATCACGATATGGAACAACAACAACAACATGAAGAAATAATCGGATCGAATGAAAATCAACAATTACAATCCAATATTAATAATAATATTAATAATAATAATAACACAAATGAACAAGATAGTACAGTATTAGTAGTAGAAGATGAAAAACAACAAATAACATCAAAAACAATTCGAGTATTAGAAAGTAAAGCCTTTCAATTATCAGAATCATTTAATCATTTATTAGGATCATTACAAACATCAATGTATGCTAAAAGTGCAATAACATTACAACATATTGAATTATATAAAAATACAGTTGATAGTTTTTGTAATAATGTAAATGAATCTGTTGATAGTTTGGAATCTTTTATTAATCGTTTAAATGATTTAAATAATGAATTAAAACAAATGAGAAATTTATATCATAATATTAAAGAATTAAGAAAATGTGTTGAAATTATACAATTTAATGTTAATAATTCAAATCAAAATAATAGAAATAATATTTTTATAAATCATTTAGATGATGATCAAAATTAGTTAAAATTATATGTATTAATAAATATTGAAAAATTAAATAATAAATTAAATAAATTTAAATTATAAAATTAAATAATTTAATTATATTTTAATGAAAAATCAACTCTATTTTTAACAAGTTCTTGACCAGACCAATGAGTATCAATTGCTTGAATAAAATCTGATCTAACAACCTTTGATCTTGTTTTTAAATAATTTCCTTCATCAACTCTAACATAAACACCTTCAATTGGTTGATTCAATTCGGGTGAACAATAAATTGATTTTTGATTTTCTAATAAATTCAATAAAACTTGTTTTGTTAAATGTGGTGAATTTAAAATTGGAAGTGGTTGAACAATTGAAATAGTTGGTGCATGATTTAAAAGTAATTGATTTCTTAATTGAACTGATACAAATTTCTCTGCATGTTTATCATAAATATCAAATGCAATAAATGTATCAGGTAATTGATCATAATAAATTGAATGTTTAGCATACATCCATTCACCATATAAAATATATCCATTATTATTATCACTTAATAATGAAAATAATTCACTTGAATGTTCATCTAACCATAATTGTAATGTTTTAAATTGTGCATGTGATTGACAAGTAACATAATGTGATCTATTTTGACATCTTAATTTATAACTTTCAATATCTAATGTAATTCCCAAATTTGATCCATCAACTTTTTCTTCCAATGTTACTTGTGGTCCAAGTGATGGTGCATAGAATTCTCTAGCTGCATCCTTTTCATCCATTACTAAATCATCACGAGTTACTTCTTTATTGGTTGAAAATAAGTGATGAGTACGTGGAAATTTTATAATATCAATACTATCTGCTTGTTCCGAAGATGATGAAGATGAAGATGATGCTTTCTTATTATTGTTATTGGATTTTTTCATTATATAGTTAGTAGTAGACTATCTTAGTAGAATTAATAATAGGTATAGTGATGTGTTATAGTTGTATTGATTTGAAGGCTTTTTTTTTGAGGGTAGAGTTCTTCAATAAATAGATGTGAAGGCTTTTTTCAAGAGGTTGAAGATCCAATTTGAAGTTCATTTTCAAAATCTTTTTTTAGATTTGAATTTGGTTGACAAGTAACTTTACAATAACCTCAAAATGAATACAGTGAGTGGACAGTTTGATCATTCATCAATGGTATCTATTTTCTTCATCTCTTCAAGATTCATTGATGATGAAGTAAATTTACTTGTAGAGTTGATATAAAAATAATTCAAAATACATTTTTATAATTTAAAAAAAAATGTCAACACCATATCCATCAACTAGAGGAGGTAATACTAGAGGCGGATTCAGAGGATCATTTAGAGGATCGTTTAGAGGTAACTCTCGTGGAAGTACACGTGGAGGCTATCAAAATAGTGGAAGTACACGTGGAGGCTATCAAGGAGGAGGTGGTGGTAGAGGAGGATTTAATCAAGGAGGAAATAATTCATACAATAATAATAGTGATGGTGGTAGTGGTGGTGGTGGTGGATATAATCAACAAGGTAATAATACTCGTGGTGGAGGCTCATTTAGAGGTAGAAGAGGAGGATATCAAGGTGGTAATGATGGTAATTATCAACCACGTGGAGGATATCAAGGAGGTAATTCTGGTAATACAAGAGGTGGATTTCAAAGTGGTGGAGGACCAAAAAGAACACCATTCCGTGAAAAGTTGAAAGAATGGGTTTTAGAACGTACAAGTGAAGAAGGTCAATTGGTAAAATTAGATTTTATGTGTGTTGATGATACACTTAAAGGAATGAGTAATAATGGTTATGATGATGGATTAATTAGACAAGTTTGTGCATCAGTTGTAGAAAATTGTAAAGATTCATGTACAGCATTGGGAGTTTAAAATTATTGAAAGGACTACCTTTAAAAATGTTATTACTGAGAGGAAATCAATGTTATAGAGTTGCATCTGATGAAGATGTAATTACATTATGTAAAATATTTCCACAATTAGAAGTATTAGATGATGCACCAATACCTCCTCAATTAAGAAAGAGTGGTAGTACACTTCCACAAATTAATCCATATAATTTAGTTGAAGGATTATCAGAGGATAATTTAAGAAAATATTTAACTAATTTATTTGATCATATTGATTGTAGAAAAACAGAATTACAAACATTATTTGCAAAAGATGCATTTATTACCTATTCAAATTCTACAAATGAATATGTTGATTATGTTGAAGATTCAGTTGAAATTGAAGCATTTCAAAAATTACAACAATTTTCACGTGATATTCTCAATATACCTGATCAAAAAGATACAAAATCTAGGAAAACAGAATGTAATGAACAGTTAAAATCAAGTATCATTTCATCAAGTAATATTTTAAAATTCTTTAATGCACTACCAAATACTAAACATAATATTGAAAGAATAACATCAGATGCATTATCATTTAGTACAAGACAAGTTGAAACAAATGCTCTAATTGGACGTTTATGTGTCTCTGTTCATGGTCATGTTATTTTCCTAGATAATAATGGTGATAAGCATACAAAATCATTTGATACTTCTTTCATTTTAAAAAAACATGAAAATTCTCTATTAATTTCTAATTTTATTTATCATATTAGACCATATTCTAATTTTGATTTGGAATTCTTTTTAGAAATTACTCAATTCATTTCAAAAACTAAATTAAAACCTCAAGTTGCTCAACAAATTTTTAATGAAGGAAGAAATTTAGAAGGCGCACTTTTACAATTTGAAATTTATAAACAAAGTGGTCAATTAAATGAACAACACTTTCAACAACCTCAATTAGTACAAAATCAACAATAAATTTTAAAAGTAATAATAATATTAAATAATATTAATGATAATAATAATAATTTCAATATATTTATTCTTTTTGTATTTCATTATTTGACATGGTAAGAAACCATAAATGTATGAATGGATGAAATGTGTACTGAGGTCATGAAATGTTCTTTGTGTTCTCTTTTCAACTTGGTGGACACAAGAGTAGCTTGAGATGGGAACTATTGTACATTGTTCGGGAAATGTTCATTCAATTTCTCCAGTTCACCAACAATAAATTCAAGCAGCAAAAAATGACAAACTGCCAAAAATCAAAAAGCAAAAAAACTATCAAAATGGCTCCAAAGGAAACAACAACTAATAGTAATTCAAATGGTATGCAAGAATTTAAGCTTGCAGTTATTGGTGGAGGTGGTGTTGGTAAAAGTGCATGTAAGTATTCACCTAACCTTTTAGAAATATTTAATATATTCAATCCATTTATAGTAACTGTACAATTCATTCAAAACATTTATATTGAAGAATATGATCCAACAATAGAAGATTCCTATCGTAAACATGCTAAAATTGATGATAAACCAGTTTTTTTAGAAATCTTAGATACAGGTAAGTTTACAATAATAATATTAAATATATTTAATATATTAAATATATTAATATTACAAAAAATAGCTGGACAAGAAGAATATAAAGCATTAAGAGATTCATATATGAGAACAGCTGATGGATTTTTAATGGTATATTCAGTGATTGATAGAAAAACATTTGAAGAAGTGAATGAATTTTATGAACAAATATTAAGAGTTAAAGATTGTGATAAAGCACCAATGGTATTAGTTGGTAATAAGTGTGATTTAGAATCAGAAAGAGTGATTCGTATAGATGAAGCTAAAGTTTATTCTAAACAATTAGGAATTCCAATGATTGAAACTTCTGCTAAACAAAGATTAAATGTTGATGAATCTTTTGCTTTACTTGTTAGAGAAGTTAGAAAATCATTAAAATCATCAGATGAAGATCAATTAACAAAGAAAAAGAAGAAACCATGTTCAATTTTGTAAATAAACTAACTTTAAATATATTATTATATTTAAACGAGTTTAAAGTATTAAAAATATTACACAGATACATGGATTCAAGAAGGTGGTTCAAAAAAGACTACAGCACCACAGGTTCCCAAGTTGTCTCCAACCTCAGTACTGATGTGGCTCGACGATGCTTAACTTCTCAAATCGGACGGGATGAGGTGCATTCATCGTGATATGGCCGTAGCCATTCATACTCTTAAAATCTTAATATTGAATGAGAAAACGATTTGGATCTGTTGAATTAAATAAAACTGGACTATTACAACATTTGAAGACTCAACTTGGAAAAGGAAATTCTACACTTTTTTAATTTAGAGTATTGATCAACCACAAGTTTCACTTTCTAAATAGATCAAATTCAAAAGTGATAAATAGATGGTGATCCAATTTTTTATTTTGAACAACAAACTTACTGAACCAACAATCAATAGATTAGTTGCCTTCACTGTTCATACAGTCAAAGACTGTAGCGGGATAGTCGCCATATTCCTGGCAGGCTTCCCGTCTTATCAAATTTGATAACAATTGAAAGACAAACAACAAATGCTCCAACTTATTCTCCTTTTTAAATTGATTTTAAATTGATGAACATGTTCAAAATTTTTGTTGTTCATTGTATTAAGGCAATAAATGGCTATGACATATCTTTTCAAGGGGATTCAACTGTGCATTTAGTATTGAGATTGAGAGGAGGTTGTTAAATTAACAAAATATCATGGATTCTCTCAATCATTGTCAATAAAAGTATTCATTGAATAGCGTATTACAAAATAATTCTAGTTGTTTACAAAAATAATTTTAAAGAGCGAAGCAAAATGAATTTAAAGACCATCATGTATTTTACAACCACATCAACATTCTGTAAAAGTAAAGTGTATTTAAATATGCCTTTTATGGCAAGATATTTTTCAATCCTTAACAACTGTTTCTTTAAAGTTTTCAATAGAGTTATAATGTTGATTCTGGATGAATTTCATCTAAGCTAATTAACTTGATATCTAATCCATTGAGGATAATTGAATTAATTAAGAATTGCTAAACCCTGGACATTCACTGCGGGCATTGTACATACTTTTTCGTTGGACAAATCGGTTTGAATAAGTTTCTGACCTTCTACTTAATACTCTGGTATTGCTACATCTAGTATTTATAATAGTATTGACATCTACTCTTTGAATGCTGCTTCATTTGGTCAATTAATTGGAAAAGCTCATTATGATTATTTAGAGAGATTTGTAAAAAAATTATATTAATATACAATATGACTATGTTTTTAGTTAAACTTTCCATTCATTTAATTGAATGTTTCTTTTTCAACTTTTTAATTTCCAATTAAGTTTACAATCAAAAATAAGAAAACAAATTTCATACTTCTGCGACAATTTGATTGGGCCAACAAATCAAGTTACCATTGAAAAAGCCAAGTTGTTATTAAAATCCAATTATTTAATAAATCCAATAGTTATGTTAAGATTTGAAAAGCCTTCGAAATTAAAAAAATTAAAAAAAAATGAAAGTACAATACTCACGTAATACCATCAAATCACTCGCAAATTCAGCACCATCAGTTGCCGATGACAGTTTTAATACAGTCTGTGCTCAAGCTATTTTTGATTCAATTGTTAAAAGTGTTCAACAACATGGACGTGCTATGGTAGGACTTTCAGGAGGCTCAACACCAATTCCAATTTATGAAAAATTATCAAAATTAATGCAACCACTTCTTCCGAATAAGAATATTATTTTCTTTTTAATGGATGATCGTTATGTTCCACAAGATGATAAGGATAGTAATCAAAAATTAGTACTTGAATCATTGACAAGTAGTGTTACTGATCAAATTACTTTAATTTTCCCAAATTCTCAACTTTCAATTGATGAATGTGTTAAAGATTATGAAAATAGATTGAAACAAGAATTAGCTCTTCAACCAAATCAACAAGTTACTTTATCTACATTGGGAATGGGTCCAGATGGTCATACTTGTTCATTATTCCCTTCAAGTACAGTTATTCCTGGAACTTTTGATAATGAATTTAAAATACTTCACACAACTACAACTCAATTTGCTGTTTTTGATAGAATTACTGTTAATTATCACTTTTTATTTAAACACTCAGCTCAATTATTCATGTTTTTCAAAGGACAAGATAAAACTGATTTGTGGAACCAAATGGAATCAATCATTACCAAGGGAGAATATAATACCCAAGACTCAATCCCACAACAACTCGTTTATCCATGTATTCAATTTTTATTGATGGAAAATTGTACTCTCTTTGAAAGATGTTAATCAAAATTCTCATAAAGTAATTTATTAATTCCATGTTATTAATCCTTCTTTGTGATCACATCATATAAATCACTTCTCTTATGATCAAAAACTGGCATTCCTTCTCTTACTTTTTTGATATTAGAAATCCAATCATCAATTTCCACAAAACCTAATTTTCCTTCGAAAGGTTCCTTTTCTTGAATGTCCAAATCAAATGTTTCTTCCTGTGAACCTAGGTCAAGAATAATCTTTCCTAATGGATCAATCACTAAACTGTGACCATAAGATTGTCTCTTCAAATTATGAGTACCAACTTGAGAATGTTAAGAATTGCTCTCAAGATTTAAACTTACCTTGAGCACTTGCAATCACATAACATTGATTTTCAATAGCTCTTGCCATCAAAAGAGTTTTCCAGTGACCTAATTCTCCTGTATGTTTGGTAAAAGCAGCTGGTACTAATAAAATCTTGGCATTATTCATCTTTCTCAGTAAAATATATAATTCTGGAAATCTTAAATCATAACAAATAGATAATCCAATTTTTAAATCATTTGAAAATATCAATCCACCATCATCAACAAGTAAATCCTTTCCAAATTCTGTAATTTCTGATTCCTTCAATTTAACTTTTTCAGTATTCAAATCAAATAAATGAACTTTTCTATAAACATTAATTATTTCACCATTATTATTTACAAGTATATGTGAATTAAATATTTTATGAGGATCATTAGATGACTTTTCATGATATCCACCATATGAAATATTGATTGAATATTTTCTAGCTAAATCTTGATAGGATTTAAAAAGTTCTGAATCCAAAGATCCAGAGTTTGCAATTGTCTCTGTTGCACTTGTTCCCATAAATGCAAAACATTCAGGAAAACAAATCAATGAAGCTTTATGTTCCGAAGCCTCTTTGATCAATTTTTCGCAAACTCCAAAATTAAAACCAATCTTATTGATGGAACGAACTTGTGCAAGAGCAATTTTCATTTTTTTTAAAATTAAATTTTATCACCATGTATGTGCCTTATTATCATTCAATATTTGGTGATGAATTCATTCACCTCTTTTCATTGAAGAGGGAGGGTTGTTACAAGACACATTCATAGCTAAAATACAAAGGCTAGAAATAAAAAACAAGCCTTCAAATATTTTTTTTTAAATTAAAAAAAAAATGGTATGTTTAAATTAAATAGAAATTGTGTGATGATCATCAAATAATTATTATTTCGGATTGGATAGCTTCCATTAACGTTATTGAAAGGTGCTATAGGAACCACAATGTTGGTTGAATTAAAAAATGGTGAAACATTTAATGGCACTCTTACAAATTGCGACCAATTTATGAATATGAATTTAGAAGATGTTACTTGCACTAGTCGTGATGGTACTAGGTTTTGGAAAATGGACAAAGTTTACATTAGAGGATACACATTAAAATACATTCGAATTTTGGATGAAATTATAAACAAAGTTAAAGAAGAACAAAAGAAGAGCAGAAGTAAACCACAACAACAAGGAAATTCTAATAATAATAGCAATACTAATAATTCAAATACATCATCACAAAGATCACGTAGTAATAGTTCAGGTAGAGGATCGGGGATGAGAGGAACTAATGATAATAGATCATCTTCGGGAAGAGGTAAGATTAGTTTTTCTTTTTTGTATTGAATTTAACATTTGAATGATCAAAATTTGAAACAACAATAGGAAGAGGAACAAACCTTAAAAACTAGTTTAATATTGAACCCTCACTACTAGTAGTAATCTTACATTCCTAAATTAATAAATTATTTGAAGGTTCATATTTTAAAACAAAAAGGATTTGAATTCTTATTGGAATACCTTAACATTATTTTTATTTAACAGAATAGAAAACAAATTTCACCTTTTACAAGAGGTATTTACAAGTCTTTAATTCGAGGATCATCAGCTTTTGGAATATGTCTCATCATTGCTTCAATGAATGAAACAGATGAACCAGTACCACCAATATCAGGAGTCAAAATCTTTGGATTAGCATTCAAAAGTGTTTCCTTGAGAGCGAATTTAATTCTATTAGCATGAGTATTCATTCCCATATGATCCAACATTTGAATAGATGAAGAAATAAGACCAATTGGATTGGCAATTAATCTACCTGAAATATCCATAGCAACGTGTCTGTTACCTTGTTCGAAAACTCTAACAGCATCAGGCTTATTAATATCAGTAGCATTGAAACCAGAAATAACACCAACACCACCAACAAGTGATGAAGCAGTGTTACTAACAATTGAACCATACAAGTTTGGTGTGACAACAACACTATTATCAAAGGAATGTGGATTCTTAACCAATTGCATGACAGCATTATCTACAATTAATTCGGAATATTGAATATCTGGATATTCCTTAGCAACTTGTTTACAACATTCAATAAATAAACCATCACTCTTCTTCATAATATTAGCCTTGTGAATGGCAATAACCTTAGATCTTTTAGATTGTTTGGCATATTCGAAAGCCCATTTGGCAATTCTCATAGAACCATCACGTGTAATAATCTTCAATGATTCAACAACACCTGGTTGAACTTGATGTTCTAAACCTGAATATTCAGCTTCAGTATTTTCTCTGACAACAACCATGTCAACATCTCTGAAAGGTGTGAAAACAGATGGTGGTAAATTTTGTGGAGCCTTGACAGGAACAACGTGAGCATATAAACCATATTTCAAAGCCAACATTCTGTCAATAGATTTGCTTACATCTCTAGTAATAAATGGTCCTTTCAAAACTACCTTGTTATTTAAAATAGATTGATGTAAATCAGGATAGTGAACCTCTGGGTCAATTTGAGACCACTTTTCTTTTCTCAAATAAGAATAAGCAGTTCCTCCAGATGGATTAGTTTCTCCACGACGACGTGGATCTTCTTCAATGAGATTTCTAGTTGGATTTAAACTACTATCAGAACCAACACCAAAGAAAGAACCACTCACAAGATAAGTGTCCCATTGAATTGGAATGTTGGCATAGTGAAACAATTCGCAAACACAACTACAAATTTCAACACCAATACCATCACCTATTATAATTCATCATCATCACCATCACCAATTCAATTATTATTATTGTTATATTATTGTTATTGTATTAAAATGACAAATAATGTGTCAATTGATTCCGTTCCATTGTAAGTCACTGTATTCTTTTAAATTACCTACCAGGCAACAAGGTAACCTTTTTGATTGCTTCTCTTTGGAGAGCACTTTGGGAGAAGAAGGCTTTTGATGGTTGGGAGGCTGCTTGTATAAGACTTGAAGCAGAAGAAAATGTTTGCTTGATGGATTTTCTCATTTTTTTTAAATTTAATAAATTAAATTACGTTATTATTTTGATGTTTTGTGCTGATTTGTCTATTCTGCAAAGATGATTTACCATGTGGTTAGTAGTATTATTGTGGCAGTCATCACAAATACAATCTGTATTCAATGCAAATTATCCTCTCTGGCCCTACTGTCACACAATAAAGTCTGTTTGATTAATAATTGTGGCGTAATTGAAATTCACCACCTCACTCCTCTACAAAGAATCTATTTTCGCATAAATATGTGTGAAAAACAACGAAGATTCTCAAGAGTTATTAAGGTCAATCGAGGTGATAGAGTATTAGATTGGAAAATTAAACATAAATGTAATATAAACTAAATTTTATTTAGTAAATGTCTTAAATCCCTAGCATAGTCATCAGAGCTTAGTTTTTTATCTAGAACCTTATTTATGATATCTTTAGCACGATCTTTTTCTCCATTCTTGTAAAGTAGGTCTGAACATTCATAAGCTAATCTTCCAATGTTCCTTGTTTTAGTTGAAAGGTATTTTGATAATCTATTTTCTGCTGTGGCAATATAAAACAGTGATTCAAAACAGCCAATTGCACTTTCCAATAATTTAAGTTTGATGAAATAAATAGCTAAATTATATACAGTTTTGAAATATAAATCTTCTGTGAATGGAGAATGTTGTAAACAAAACATTAACACTTCCTTATAATAAAATAATGCATCATCACGTGGTTTTTCTGAAACATCCAAATAATTTGCAAACCACAATTTTAACATACATAAATAATGTTCAAATTGTTTTTGATTGATTTCCTGATTTTTTAAACTTTCTTGAAGGGTTTCTGTTGCCTTCTTATATATTGGTTCCACTTCAATATTCTCAGCATATGCTCTATTATGTTTTAAAGCATTTACTATTGATACAATTCTAAAAAAATAAATAAAATATTTTAGTTCATGTTTCATCTTTGGATTATCTTGCATAAATTTATCACCTTCTGATGAGAATTTAAACAAAGCATCAACATAAAATTTCTTATTAGATTGAAAATACATTAATATATAAACATATTTTCCATGGTCCATATTCGCAATAGCACTAGGAGAATATTCCGATTTGTTTTGATCAAAAGCATTTGAATATTTAGATAATATTCTTCTAATATGATTATTTGGTGTTTCAGGCCATTGATAATCTCCAACGTATGAATATTTAGAAAATATTAAATGTGGTGTTTTATCAATATCCGATGATGAAACATCTATTGTAGGCAATGGTGTTGGTATTTCATACACTGCTACATTTCGATAATTATGTTTATCATTATTTCCTCGATAATCCCTGTGATAATCTCTATGGTAGTCTCTATCATTATATCTACCTCCGTCTCTATCACGACCATCACGATTATCGCGATTGTCTCTACTATCACGGCTATCACTTCTACTGGAAGACATTTTTTTTATAAAATTATATTTGAAAAATTGCAAAACCTTCAAATATTTGCTTAATGCTTTTTCAAATTTTAAATCTTTAAAAACAAAAATTTAAAACAGAACAGCAGATCTATTATGAAGTGAAATACATTCCTTACTATCTACCTGAGACAGCCAACATAAATATAATCAGCTGAGAATGTACACAGCCAACCAAAATTAGAAGATAACTTCGGAATTTGTATGCAGTGTTCAAAACTAGCCTTCCCTCATCATCAACCATCACCTCTTCTTTTCCATTAAAAAAAGAAATTGTCAAAGAAGATCTCTTCTCTTATTAAAAGTTTCTCATATTGGTGAGAATAATTACCACACTGTCTGCAATATAATACTTCGTTTTAAAATTGATCATCATAATATGCCTTTCAATCCATTCAAATATTCAAAACGAAAGAGGAGAACATCTACAACAGATTTTCAGCAATTATCTAGTCAACAAGACAATGACACTGCTAGTGTACAATCTTTATCTTCATCATTTGATAGTGGTTCTCAAATTCTTTTAATTCCGAATCAAAACAATAATAATAATAATAACATTTTAACAGCAGCAAGTAGTAGTGGTAGTTTGAATAATAGCTCGTCATCTACTTCATCACCAAAGATAATTGTAGGACGTCATAATAGAAGCGAGGAGGAACTTGAAATAATAGAAGGAGATGCATCATCCTCTTTGGAGAATAATGAAATACCATCATCATCATCAACTCAGAATAGGGAGCATCATCATAGAGAACATTCTAATATTCTTAGACAATCAACTGCTGACTTGAGTTCAATCAATGATTTTACATCAAGTCTAATTCAGGATGAAGACGTTAATGGATCATCATCTTCTCATGCCATGATTGAATTAGCAATAGAAAATGATGATCAAATGGTTTTTGGTTCACCATCTCCTACAAGTAATTCACCAAGTGATGATGCTTTACCTTCAAAGAAAACCACAACACCTCGTAGAAGAGCATCTTTCAATAGTTTAGATCGATCAGCATCAAACATTCAAAGAGTTTCATCTGATGTTGATAACAATGAAAATGATCGTAGAATCCAAAGGCAAATCGAGTTGGATTCTAAAAAACCTAAAAAAGTTAGAATTTTAACTCTTGGATCTGGTAAATCAGGAAAAAGTACCCTCATTAGAAAAATCAAATTATTAGAGGGTGATTATTCGAATGAACAAGTTGTAGAATTATTTAAATGTAAAATATTGAAATTTGTATTGAATAATGCAAAATATTTAATTAAGAATGTCACGGAAACAGAATTTAGAGAAAATTTAAGGAGAAGAGCTCAATTACTTCAACTTTGGAGGTTTAATCAAACTTTAAATACACAAAATGAATGCAATAGTGATAGTGCTGCTAGTAATAATACAAGCCAATCCATACCTATAACTCCAAAGAACAAATCTCCTTTAAGAGTTTCATCATCATTGGATGAAAGTTTAAACGTTCTTCACCAAAGATTAAGTAATTTTAAAAATGATTCAAAACAATTCCACAAACAACCATCACAATATGATACTCAATCAGAGGAATCTAATAAGATTACTCAAAATTTCTTAAATCCAGAAGCAGTTGAATTATTTAAGAGTTTATGGAAGGATAAATACGTAAAACACACATTTGACAAGTTATCTTTAAATAACTCAATACTTTACAATGCAAGATACTTTTTTGATAATATTGACAGAATAGCATCACTAAGATATACACCAACATCAAGAGATATTTTAACTACATATTTTCCTTCTACATCTATTGAAACATGTCAGTTAAATTTTCCGTTCCCATGTGAGTTTGTAGATATTACTGGACAAAGAAATGAAAGAAGAAAGTGGATGACTTCTCATTTTGATAGAGATTCAGTTTCTGCAATTGTTTTCATGGTTTCTTTAAGTGAATATTGTGAATATTCTTTAAGCTTACTTGACTTTAGTCCAACTAAAAATCCTCAAAGCCCACCAATTGTTGACCCTCTAAATTTTGTTCCTCCAACTCAAAACCAAATATTGGTTTCCCATATGCATAATTCACTTTCAATGTTCAAAGAAATCTTAAGCTTTTACAAAGATACACCAATCATTTTAGTATTTACAAAATTAGATATATTCCGTAAAAGAATCAAATCTGTTCCTCTTCGAATGTGTTTTCCAGACTTTGATTATTCTGGTGATCATGTATTCCTCTACACTAGTTTTGTTGCTGAGAAATTTATTAATGTTGATCCAACAATTAGACAACGGTGTTTATACACTCATTTTGTTGATTTGATACGTGAAGATGCTTCTTTGATGGTTATGGATGATATTAAGGATATTATTTTACAAAAGACTTTGAGAGATCACGGCCTTTTCTAAAAATGAAGATTGCTAAATGTGGACTTTGGAATTCATTCAGCATCCATAAAATATCTGAACAATACCTTATTATTCAGAATTCCCAACTCACGCACAAGTTAATACTAATGTTCTCATCAAATCTGAATTCACAAACGTTTGATGACTTGAGTTTGTCACGCATCATTGACTGATCAAGTAGTACAAACCCATTCCACATGAAATACATCACCAACTCAAATTCTAATCTGGCTTTTTAAATCAGAAAAGGTTTTTCACTCTTGTTCTCCATTGTTCAAATAGTTAATTCTTGTAAACACTTTTTCAAAACAAACTTAAAAACAAATATCAAAAGAATAACTTGATAAGTTTAGTATGGGTTTTATTCAACAAACCAGAAATATGCTAACTCCACAAAATCAAACACAAGGTTATAACCAACAACCAAACCAAGAGCAAAATCACCGACAAAATATGTACAATAATGGTGGTCAATTCTATCAAGGTTATGGTGGTAATAATAACCAAATGTTTAATGATCCCATTCAAAGCAACATGTACACTAATTCTTCAGCAATGAATGGCCAACAACAACAACAACCTATCAATTCATTAAGTAACAATCAATATGGTTCAAATGGATTGTTACTTAATAATCATACCAATATGAATCAATATGATTTTAATGCTAATTATAGTAATAATAATAATAATAATAATAATAATGGTTATGGTATGAACAATCCTTATGATCAAACCATGGTTCATCCTATTAGTAATACAATGGGTGGTGGTAATCAACAATTGCTTTTGAATTATAATAGTACTGGTAGTAGTATGCATAATTATGGCAATACTAATCAAATTTCTATGAATTATAACCAACCTATGAATACCAATAATAATTATGGTAATCCAAACAACAATACCTATTATAACACTATGAATAATAGTCAAATGATGAATCAACAAATGACTAACATTCAAATTGATCCTTTGAGAATGAATCAAAGAATTAGTTCAACTCCTCAAACACCAATTGATAACTTTAGTGATAGAGAAGTATCACCTAGTTCTTCCACTTCGTTTGATTCAACATCTAGTGCCGTTGTAACTGAAGCTGTTCGTATTGTATTCCCTCTTGGTGTTGATTTTAATGATGTACTCTTCAATATCAAGTTGACTGTTCCAGAATTAGTTGGAAACATTCTTAATGAAGAAAAAGTTAAACCTGTACTCACTACCAATAAGAAGAAACAACTTATTTGGGTCAATATTTCAACATATGGTATTGCCAAGATAATCAAAGAAAAATGTTCTTCCATCAAGTATTATAATGAACCACTTGAAATTACCATTGACAATAAGCCAAAGAAAACTGTTGCTGGAGTTTATTCTATTGAAATTCCAACTGGAATCAAAGCAGTTGCCTTGGATAAATTCTTCAGTGATGACTTGAGAAGAGAGTTATCACAAATGTCTGGTGGTACAAACAATTCATTTGAGATCAAAGATAAGACAATTACTTTCAAAATTCAACCAACACAACCAAATATTCAAAATGTTCAACAATATTTACAAAATCTTGTTATCAAGTTATTGCAACCTGCAAGATTCGTCGAATTTTATTATGAAAATAGCAATGAAAAGAAAGACCAAGTTCAAAAGAAATTGCCACCAGGTGTATATTTATATATTGAAGAATCCAAGAAAAATTTCACTACTTGGCACTTAACTTCATTGAGTGATATATATAACAATCAATTAATTATTGATTTGTTCAAAATTAAGTTTTCAATTCCAAAGGATGATTTTGATGCTACAAAAAAGGAATTGTTTAACAAAAATATTCAATTTAAATATACCAAACAAAATGAAAACTTTCAAATTGAATGTACTTTGAAGAGTGAAAGTGAATACAAAGTTTTTAACAAGATTAAGAAGGGTGATACAAAGAATCCAGTAACTATAGAAACTACACAATATAAGTTCTTGAGAAAGTTCAGCTCTCACTTATTAAAGAGTGGCCAAATTGAATTCAAATGCAAGAGAGACGAAAAGGATGCCAGTAAGATGATCGTATTAAATGTACCTAAAAAGGCAAGACAATTATTGCAAGCAGAGCTTAAGAAAATTAAAAGTGTTAAATTGGAATTACAATTTATCCATGCCTCTTTGAAAGAAGATGTTAAAAAGGAAGGTGAGAAATATTTTGAGCAATTAACAGAAATTCAAACTGCCTCAACAGTTTTGGCACCTGAAAAGTCAAAGAACATTATTATTTTATTTGCTATTGTTGAAAATCAAGAAAATGAAATGAAGATTAGAAATGAATTGAGTGAATTGTTGAAAGGAAGCTCTGATATTGTTCAAGCAAAACAAGTCAATGAACATTTACTGAAAAAGGTAACTGTTAAAACCAAGATTGACAAGTTCAAGAAGGATATTTCATCAATTAATGTTGATTTTGATTCAAATAAGAAGACTTTTTATATCAAGGGATTAAGAGATGAAGATGTGAAGGAAGTGAAATCAAGAATTGAATCTGAACTTTTGCAATCAAAAGAAAAGAGAATCAAATTGACTTTTAATAATATTATTGAAAAGAATCTTGCATTACCACTTCTCAAGTCAGTTCAACAAAATAATGTAAAGATTTTAGAACAAGGACTATCAATTACATTAGTTGCACCATCTCAAGATATGTACAAATTCATTGACAATTCCTATCACAGAGTAATGATGGAAGTGAGAAAGAAAGTATTGGTTGACTTTATTAGAATGCAACATGATGAATTCAAATTCTTTTCAGAAAAGAATATTGAGACAAAGGGTAAGGTTGTTTTGGAAAAGAAACTTGACAGTGGAATCAAGGAAGTTCACAAAATTGAGAATTCATTTATTTACATTTGTCAAGGTGACATGTTTGATAAGAAATGGAAAGCTCAAGTACTTGTTAACAGTGCAAATGACCAATTGGCACATGGTGGAGGAATTGCTGCTCAATGTTTAGAGAAATGTGGAAAACAATTTGATCAAGAATGTAAAAATATTACCACCTCTCTTAAACTCAAACCAGGTGATGTAGTTCCAACAACTGCTGGAAATCTCAGTTACCTCTCAAAGATTTATAATGCCATTCCTCCAATGTATGATTCAAATAATCATCTTAACTCATGTAGTTTACTTGAACAAACAGTTGTGAATATTTTGACTCAAGCAGAAAAGGATGGATATTGTTCAATCATTATTCCTGCACTTTCATCTGGAATATTTGGATTCCCACTTGATCAATCAACTGATATCATTGTCAGAACAATTTACAAATATGCACCACAATTATCATGTTTGAGGGAAATTATACTGATTGGTGATATTAATACAGTTACTGAATCATTCTCAAAATCTATCAACTTATTACAAACAGATCTAGTCTATACATTAGATACAAAGAATGATTCCTCATTTATTGAAATTGAACAAGATGAATATGTTGGATGTTTCAAATATTTTGATGATATCAAAAAGATGTATTTGCCATTCACAGTGAATGATAATCGTAAATTATGTCAAGAATATGAAAAAGATCCCAAGTCAACTTTCATTTTGAATGCGGAACAAGGTAAAAAGTACCAAATTGACTTTGACAAGATGGAACAAATTGAAAATTCTTCTAAATTTAAGAGAAAGATTATTTATGTTCCAACAATGGATACTGAACATTTGACTGCTTTATGGCTATGGTTGGCTGATGATAACAAGACATGGAATCCTTATAGAGAAAATCAAATGAAAGAAATTGAAAGGAGCTATAATGAAAGAAATACTGAATGTAATGTACTGATGACTAATGAAAAGTATACCTCTGAAGATATCAAATATTTTGTGAAATTCGATTACCTTAAAGAAGAGCACGTTCAAGTCAACTCACAAACTCAATATGTAAGAAGAGTTAAGAGGATACCAATTCAAAAAATTGTGAAGTGTAACATTGATGTTGCATCAGATTTGAATAAGAATTCCATCTTGTATGTTTATGATCAAGATGACAATCATTACACATTTGTGAGTGGATCTGCTCATAACAGAATACTAATTACTGATACTGTTCCCATTCAAATTGTTAAATCAGTTAGCAAAACTAAATATGCAAGCGTAACTGAATCTGTTTATTCATTCAGACTTTATGGAGAAGCTTCAGATGTTCAATCATTCGAGCTTAATTTTAGAAATAATATCAAAGAAAGCTACATTACCGAGTCCTTAACAAAATCATGTAACAAGTTTGTAATTGATCACATTCTATCAGAACATGCATCAATGAAAGCAAAATTTGATAATGGAATGTTAAAGATTGATATGAACGTATCACCATTTACAATTACTGGATTCAAGTATACAGTTGACAAATTTAAGGAATATGCTCTCTTGACCATTGCTGATAAACCTGAATTGTTGAGTAAATTCAGTTATCCTCAAGATTGGCAGCTTCAAACTTCAAATGTAATTCTCATCAATTTATCTCAATCAAGTAATGAATGGAAAATGATCAATGATAGAATTAAATTGACCATTCCAAATGCAGTGATTCAAAATATTGAAAAAGTTCAAAATCAATTGGTTTATCAAAGTTATAAAACTGAACAAGATAGAATCAACAAGATTAAGATTGATTCAAATGGACAATATTCAACCGATCCTCAATTATTGTTCCATGGAACAAGAAGTACAGATCCAAGCATTATCTATGATGGTCATGAAGGATTTGACATGAGATTTTCAAATACTGGAATGTGGGGAATTGGATGTTATTTTGCTGTCAATGCAAGTTATTCTAATGGCTATGCTTTTCCCGTTCCAGGTACTAATTACAGAAAATTTTTCCTTGCTGAAGTGTTAACAGGTGATTTTCACAGTTGTAGTTCAAATAGTAATATTAGAATTCCTCCTCTCAAGCCAAACTCTGCTGTAAGATATGACAGTGTGAAGGGAAATACTGGTGGAAGTGATATTTTCATTGTTTACAAAAATTCACAAGCTTATCCAAAGTATTTAATTACCTATTCACTCCAATAATCGAATACAAATAAATAGTCTTTGTTTTAAAACCTAAGAGTTTAATAAAATTCATCACTTTCGTATTCATCATCCTCTTCCTCATTTTCATAATCCTCCTGTTTGATTTCCTCTGTTGGCTTCTTATGCTTATTTATCGTTTCTTCTTTTAGTTTATAATACTGGCTTCTTTCTTTAGAGCAAAGTCCTCTGTAATATTCCAACTTATCCTCTGGTAATTTTTTATACATTTCAGAAATAATAAAATTCAATTGTTGGATGTTGTAGCTTGCAAATTGAGATTTCACACTCTGGAAAATATCCATCTTGAAATGTAGGAAAGCTGTTCTTGGTCTTTTAATTTTCTTCCACTCTGGTTTATCATCCACGATTGGTAAAGGATTTGCTTTTTTAATCTCCTCATGAGTATCGTAATATATTTTTTTATCCTCTTCTTTCAATGTTTTCCACTGAAGTGCTAATATTTTTGAAATCATCAAATTCTTTCGTTTCTCGAAATTTGGAAATAAATTATCAAAATGTTCCTTGTTGTTTTCATAATGTTCAATTGCATTTTTCCAACACTGTTTCACATATATCGAATATGGTGTTGGATGTCTTGTATGATGTTCTTTAAGCCATTTCGGAACTTTGGATTTTGTTGTAGTTGCATTTCTTTCTAATTCCTTCAATCTCTGTTCAAAACTTTTTGGTGGTTGATTCAAAGTTTCATTATTACCTAGATCGATAGCAGAGTCATCCAATTCCTTCAGCCTCTTCTCGAAATTAATTTGTCTCTGTTTAAGTTTGTCCTTCTCTGTCAACGGTCTAACTCTTGTTTTTTCCTGATTATTATTTAAAATTATTGTTGTGGTAAAATTTCTCCTTGTTAATAACAGCAGTGATGATGACGAACAAAAGCTTCTTCTGACAACACTTCGGAAGAGAGAAGTTTGATGTGTGAGCATTTTTTTTAATCTTGATCCCGCCTAAAAAAAGTACAATTTTTCAATCAAAAAAAAAAATGATTCAGGATACCCTCAGAAGTCAATCAATACCACCCTCAGAAGAAATAATATTGGAATTACAAGATAGAGGGGATGATCCTTCAAATCAAAATAACAAGATTGATTTGGATAATAGATCGGATGATAGCGATTCCGAGGAAGAAGAAAAAATTCAATATGGAAGACCTGAACTGCAAGATTTTAACCCTCAATTACTTTCACCTCCGAAGTATACAAAAATTAAGGATAGTATAAAGAAAAGAGTGAAAGCTGGATTGTATGTTTTGTTTTGGATTAATTGAATAACCAATAACATAGAACGAACATTATAATATTTGTATGGGATTTACTGTTCCTACTCACTTCGATAGTACTGTTGGTTGTGTACTATAAGGAATGTTCTAAATGTGACCAACCTATTTGGTCATGGTTGTTAGTCAATGCTTGTGCCTCGTTTGTTTGCTGTTCTGTAGTTCTGTTTGTTAAGGGAAAAAAGTGAGTTTGAGTTTTTCAGTTGATTCATTATAATTTCAAAAGAATGATTTTTACTTCAATATTATTCCTATTAATTAGGCTTGGATGGACTATTTATGGTGTATTCCTTGTAGCAAAAGAGGTTTCTTGTGTAGTAATTGATGAGGTTGCAAATGGTGCTCATTTATTTTCTATTATTTCAGTTTCATCTAATTTTCTCCAAATAATCACCATAACTCTAGTTGGTAGTTTTTTAATTGGTGTGAAAATCTCACACACAATCCAAGAAGAAAGAAGAAAGAAAGAAGAAGGAAAATCATTGTTAAATTATGACAAGTTGTGCTCAGCTGTAAATCAGTCAGTTCCAGCAACATGTTCGAGGAAGCTGAAGATGAAGACGAAGAGTATCTCCACGAAAAGCCAATTCAAACAAGCGAATTCTCCTTCCCTGTTGATGAAATTATTGCAGAGGATGAAGTTCAAGAAGAGATAGATGTGGAACATATTTCTATGGATCCAATAGACGAAATCAAATTAAAGTTTAATTTATAAAATACAAAATCTTAATAAATTATTGTATGGAATTTATTCCTTTTTCATTCCGAGCTCAGCAATTTTGCTCAAGTTGATAGATTGAGAGGAGAACGAAGTCATTTGGTCGCAAGCATTTCCTAATTGGTTGGCAATCATCAAATAATCAAGTTGATCTGGTTGTTGAACAGACTTTAACATAAATTCTTGTTCTTCTTGTGTCTTATCCTTCTTCTTGGCGTTTTGTTTTTGTTGAGCCAATTTCTTTTGATATAATTGGTAACGATGTTGTTGGACTGATAAGCTATCAGCATATTCAATAAGACTTTCCAATCCACGTGTCAAGAATTGAGTATTAGCCATATCCAAGCTATCATAACCAGCCAAGAGATGAGATGGTTCATCATTTTCAAAATCTAAGAGGAAAGCTTGAACCAAGGCATAGTTATGGATTTGAATTGGTAATTCATCGAAAATATCCTTATCAGAGAGGTTCAATGTAGCCAAAATTTCTTGTGTGATTTGAATTTTTTCAATTGATTCTGGTAATTTTTCCTTTTCAGTAAGTACTTCAATATCTTCTTTCTTATTCTTATTCTTTAAATCGTATTTCTTTTTCATACTTGAAAGTTCAGTTTGTTGTAAGTATGAAATTTTAACAGCTTCAATGAATTTATCAGAAAGACGATAAGCTTTAACAAATAATTCACCACGTCTAGTTCTCAATGGATCAAAAACTAAGTGAATGCATCGCTTATTTCCGAGAGTTCTTTGATATTGGTATTGATTAGCAATAGTTGTAGCATTCATAAAACTATCCATGTAAGTAGATTGGTACCAACCAACAGTATTGTTATCAACATTAACATCCGTAAGACATTGTAACATATCAATTTGATATTTATCATCTTGATCGTTTCTTTCTTCTTCAGAAATACCTGTTGTTTTTGTTAAAGGTTCAAATTTGTTTAGAATATTCTATATTCTTATAATTAATAAAACATACTTTCGTTATATGATGATGATGATGGGAATGGGAAACAATTTGTAACTTCCAAAACGCCTTCATTATCCAAACCTAAGAGTTGTCCGGTGACTTGAATTGGAACTTTTTCGGTACAGTGATTAATCATTTTCAACAATACCATAGCATCGATGGAAACTTCAGTAACAGGTGGAGCATTTTCCATCTTTTCGATAAAGTCCTTTCCAAATTCTTGGACAGGAACAACATCTTGTTGTTGTTGTTGTTGAGAAATTGTGTTGGCAGCGCTTAGCTTTTGGCTCATTTTTTGTTCTTCAATTTTACAACACACCACAAGCCAGCAAAGAAAAACTCAACAAAGCCTTTGATTCTATTATTAATATTATAGAGGAAGATTATCTTCAAATACAAGATGCTTCCATACTTTAGAGAATGTAATTAATTTGGATATGATTTTATTGTTGGAGATTCAAGGTCATTGGAAAATATTCAAAACATCATTGAAAATTTTTATTTTTGCAGGCATTGAATCTTTTAAAAGATAATAATATTCAAATCATACAAATAAGAATTTACTTTAATCATTCCATATTCATATAACACGATTATAACAATTACATTTGTTCAATAGTATTGGTATTTATTATTAATATTATTACTATTATTTTCTATTGGAATAAATTTTTTTCATTTAAAATAAAAAATGATGAGTAGAAGAGTTATTCGAGGTGCTTCTTCCCTCTTGCCAAAACGTGCTGCTGTTGATGGAAACAACAGCAAAATTGCAAATATGGGTCCTCTTGTTCAAAACCCACTTGAATTGAACCAAGATGTTGCTCCACAAGGTGGTTTCCCAGCTGTAAGAGTTAGAAGAAACTCTCCAAACAAGTTTTGGTCCATAGGAACTTTCCTCTTCATCTCCACAGCAGTGATGGCTTACGGTTGGTATCGTTATTATAAATGGATCAAGAAGAGAGAGTAAGTGTTATTATTAATAGTAATTGTAGATATATTGAATGGAAATTAATTGGAAAATTTATGATGATAATATATTTAAATAGTGAATTGAAGAAGGAAAGAGAAGTTCTCGAATTAGCTATGACACCTTTCTTACAAGCCGAACATGATATTGCTTTTACTTTACAAAGAAGAGCCTTCTTAAAGAAGGTTGAGGAATTGATGAAGGGAGAACCTGAATTCAATGCTTATGAAAAGTTCTACAATTCTACAACTCGTTTCCAATATCCAGTATACAATGCCCAACTTCGTCACTTCAAGGGTACTGGTCTTTTGGAATCTGAAAAGGAATTGAATGCTGCCACTCAAAAGTAATTCTAGTAATAATTTTAACACACATAATATACACTCAATTTTTCGAAATGTCATCATCATTTGTACATTCGAGTTCTACCATGAATGGGCTTTTACTCAAACACATTGGAAACTTATAAATTCTTTTATTTAATATTAAATTGCTTAGGACTTAGTTCTTTTTACCTCCACGACCACGACCACCTCTCTTTCCACCTCTTCCACGATTTGATTTACCTCCACGACCTCCAGTCTTGTTTTGTTTATGAATTCCTCTACCTTTCTTCTTCTTTTCAACTCCTTCAGTTCCTAGGGCTTGATTGGTCATTCTTTCCAAATCGGAAGAAGCAAATCTTTCTTTACGTTTCTTGATCTTTTCTTCTTCAGTTAATTCACTTGTGGTGGCTTCACTAGTTGTTGTTGATTCACCAGTTGTGGCTGCGGCCTATCATGGTGTTAATTGATGTTAAGATTTGATGATGACAAAACATGATCAAATTAATTTTTTAAAAATTCTTGATGAGAATTTCCATCATCATAATATAAAATACTAACATTAGCAAATCTCTTCTTTCTTTGTTCCAATCTTTCAGCTGCGCTCATAGATTCAATCTTAGCAACATCAGCAACAGCGGATGATTCAGCACTAGTTGATGAACTCATTTTTTTTTATTTTTAAACATTTATTGGAAAGCCGTTACAAACACAAATACAACATATGGATTTCACAATTTAATATCAAATATTGTATTATCCTTATTATTATTGAATGGATAGGATAACAATGGATACTGGTAGATTATACAATTTTTCCAGTAAGCTTAATATTTTGTAAAAAATTTATTATTTACAAAATTTGTAGGTAATTAAATAGGCTAGAGTAAAATTCCCAGTATTTGAAAATCTAAAGTCAAATACTTCATGTCCATCATATTTCTTAACCATGTTATATTCATTTTCTTTTTTAAAGAGACATTCTAATAGACTGTATTATCATTGTATCTGCCACCAATAGCCATGTTCATGTTTGATCTTAATGGCAATATCGAGCAATTCATCCAAAACACCGTTTTGTTTCAACAATTCTCTTCTGTGACTATCAGAATTCAATAAATATTCTTCCAAGATAGGACCGTGTCTCTTTTGTCGTTGGTGTTTCATCAATTCCAGTATTAACTAACTACTTGCTCCAAAATTTATGCAATTAAGGGCTGATAAGAATAGTTTTGAACTATTTTTGAAATTTTGACGAGAAGATAAGCCCACTATTTAATTATTCATATAAGAAATATTTGAATTATCTAAATTATTTTAAAGAATTTTGTCAAAATTACATGGATTTCCTGTAAATCGTTCATCCGACAACTCATCTAACTTCATTCCTTTCTTATGATTAAAATTAGACGTTGACAATCAAAAAATCAACACCTTTTTTTACAACAATTTCCAATTCAAAAAAAAATGCTCAAAACCAAGCCTTCTTCCTCTTCTTTGGCTTCTAATGTTGGTAGTGGCACTACCGATCTAAATAATAGTAGCACTCTTAGTATGAATAATAGTCATCAACGGATTAAACCAGTGACGGCTTTTAATTCAACTTCAACAAAATTCTTCTCTGGCTTGTTGTCTGCCATTCCAAATCCGAAGAATATTACATCAGCTATCGGGAATGAAATTAGAGAAATTACGCCACGTAGAAAGAAGGAGAAGAGAGATGTAAATAATCAAAAGCAGGGAATTTCCTTCTCGGAGTGGCTTAGCTTTAGGAAACCACCTACTAAAAGTGCAACAACAAGTGCAAAATCAAATGATAATCAAGAATCTGAAATTGCTATTGATACAATCAATTTGGGAGATTTTTTGAAACAATTGGATAATTTGGATAAAGATGATTCATTTGAAGAATTTACAAAATTTGAAATGATGGAAGCACTTAGAATGTGCGTTCAATGTATTTATATGCCTTTATTTCCACAAATTAATGTAAATAGTAAGACTGACAAGTTGGAAATATCGAATGATATAGATTTGGAATTATTGAAAAATACTTTGAAAATTTCATTTGCTAATACAGTTTCGAATAGTGAATTTGATAAGATTTGGAAAACAGTTGATACTCAATATTTTCCTCAACGAAGTAAAATTATGAGAAATACCAATGGAAGTGATTTGGTAAAGAATGTAATATTATTCAGAAAATATATGGCTGAAAATGATTTAAACCCAATGTATTATAAGAAAATTTTCTCAAAAGAAACTGAATATCAGTCTTGGAAAAAAGATGAACTCAATCAAATTTCTTTAATTTTAAATTCTATAGACCAACAGAGAGCTGTTCCATTTTTGGGAACTTTGAATTTCAAGTTTAATATGGTTACTATTGATTTGCAAAAGGCTTTTAAAAGTAAGTTCACCTTATTATTTTATTGGAAACTAACACATATTCACAGAGATCACCACAAATCAAGTAATTTGTTACAAAATATGCTATCTGAAAGATTCAAAGAGTACACAACAGACCATTATAGAATCTGAAAAAATTGATTGTAGTAAATTTGCTATGAACATTAAGAATGCAATCGATATTGAAATTCCAGAGACTCTTTCTCATACCATTTCGACATCATGCGAGGATCAAGATATGTCTATAGAATTTTATTATTTCCAGCTTGGAGGATTGAAGAAGATTCATTTTGGTACTACAAAGCTACGAATTTCCTCTATAATGACACAAGCTTATACCTCAAGTGGTGTTTGGGGAAGTGCCCAAATTTCTGAAACTATTGATTTACATCCACATCCTCGTGATTCTAAGAATGAAAATGAAGTTATAGGATGTATTTCAGTATGCATGAAAGCTACTTTTAGAAGATATCCATGTAAGGTCGATGTAATTACTGATTTTTCTAAGGAGAGTAGAATTGATTGGATTAAATTGTACAAATTTACATTGAAATCTTTAGTTAAAAATCGAGAGAAGTTACAAGATTCTGACTGTGAAGATTTTATGTGTCCTAGTCAAGGTTGGATTTTAAATGATTTTGAGAAGAGATATGGTATCACAGAGACATATAAGAGATTGTTATATTTGGAAGTGTTTGCATCCAATATTAAGTTGGCAATCACATTTTCTGATGATTTACAAAAGTGTTTGGAATTGCTTGATAACAATTTACAAAGCAAATATTTCCCAATGACACAAACTGAAAGAAACAGATATTTTGACTTGACAGAAACACTTTTGAAAAAGATTGAGAAAGCTATGAAACAATATATTACCATGTTTCCTAAGAACGAACCACAAGGAGCCCTAAAATCCTTCGTTTTTGTACACAAACTCTTGTGTTGTAAATATAATAACAGAATTGTTGAAAAGGAGTACAGTAAGAGATTGAAGAAGATTATTAATGGAGCTTTTCAAACACATCTAGATGGAATTATTGAGGAGATTCAAAATAGTCTTGGATTTAAAGATATGAACGGACCTATTCTTGTAGAGCTGTGCTCAGAATTAGTGAAAGTTATTGATGAGATTTTCTATTTTTCAGGAATTTTCTCTATCGACAATTTTGAAATGGAGGCACTGACGTTTTATTACTCTAATTTGGACAACTATATCCAATACGCTAAGAAGAATGATAACATTAATGGATTTTATATGCTCACTCTTTGTAACAAGTTGAAACCTCTCCATGAGGAAATTAGACACGATTTTTCATCTAAGGAACTTTCTAATTTCAAATTTATTGATGCTAAATCTATTAGTGAGGGTTATTCTGAAAGATATATGACAGAATTAAGTGAAATGTTATCCAAATGGATCAAACAAAGTATTGCAATTGATACTTTTGAACCTATCAATGATAGTTGTATGCATAGTACCTCAGTGGTAGATTATTTTACCTCTGTAAATCAAATATTTGAATTGTTACAAAAATTGGAATTTTCTGATTCCAATTTGTATGTAAGATTTGCAGAGCTTGTTATTAGAATTACCGCAACAGAATATGCAAAGAAAGTCTCAGATCAATGTTTGGAGGATGTCAACAGTCTCTCCAACCAAAATGTTGATTCAAAACAAAAACAAAGTAACCTTCTCTTTAATATGATTGTTCCAAAGTCTGTATTTAAAGATTTGAAGGATACTCATATTTTACCTGTTGCAATCACCAAACATTTTGTGATTAGATTGAATGACATTGAAGCATGTAGACAAGAGCTTCAATCTGTTGTAAAGAATATATTTGATACTTCTTCATGGGCTGAATATGAAGAAACTACGGAAGAAACTGGATTTGAAGATTATGATAGAGATGATATTGATTTTGATGAAGTTGAAAAGAAATCGAATCAAAAATCTAAACAGATTGAAAATGAATATTCCAAAAAGTCTAACATGTCAATTCAAAAATTCACAAAACAATTCAATGAAGTTTTGTTCGATTTGACATTAGCAACTGCTAACATTTTCCAAGCTCCAATAAGAAATGCTATTAATTACGTTTTACAAAATGCTAAAAAAGATCTTGCCAAGATGAAGAATTCTACAAGAGTTGAAGTTAAAAATCTCTTCCAGAGCAAATCTGATGCACTTCTAGATTCATCACTCTTCATCCCAATTTTAACACCTGCTTTGGAAATTTTGAGTCAAAATTGTTATAAGGATTTATTCAAGAAGATTTTGGAAAGATTATTCTTGATAGTAGTAGAGGAATTGAGTACTTTCCTGTTGGATCCTGCTAATTTTACTAGGAAACCTCAAGATAGAGTTTTTTTGACTGCCCAACAAGTAAGTATCATCTCACAATTTAGTTAAAAACTAATATTTAAAAAAAGGCATATGTATTGGAATCTATTTTAGAGTTATTTATTATTTACTTTTGTGGATCTGCTGAGAAGACAGATGACGAAGAGGAAGAAACTGCTCTTTCACATGATTTTGCCAGAACTAAGAGTAAACTTTTAGTCAAGCTTTGTAAACTTTACAATACCCAAACAGAAAAGCTGGAAGCTCACTTACAAAAACTTGCTTCAAATACTAAATTTGCAGAGAAATATCCTGTTAAGGCCTATCACATAGTTTCCATACTTTTTACTAGAAAGAAGAATGATGAAAAAGCTAGAAAAATTTATTCTAAATATAAGGAAACTGCAAAGGTTCAAAGATTAATTATCAAATTCAATATTTATGCTAGATATTCCATTGTTGAAGGAACAGACAAATTAACTGTCTATTTAACGTCGACCTGTTATGATTCTTCAAAGATTGCTCCAGGAACTATTCACATTGGTGGTGAATTTTTATTATTTGAATTTAGATTCTCAAATGTTTATCACAGAATTTCATTACGCGATGTTGAAAAGATTCATTTAACAGAAGGTTTTATGAGAAAGGGAGTTTCTATTCATTTCAAAATATCTGCCAACACTTCTATCTATGTTGGCTCCTCAAGTAACAATCCAAAGAATAGAGTCAAGTTTTTCTTTTCTGATGAATCTTCAAGAAGTGCTTTCATTGAATGTTTACAAACTCAATTCAAAAATCTTGGAAATAATGTGGAAATATCAAAGAACAAGGCCACCCCAACACAAAGCACCAATACACCAAGCAAATTGATGAACTTGTTTAAATTTGGATCAAAACCATCATCTGAACAAACAAAGGGATTCATATCAGCTGCATCTGAATCTTCTGATTCATTAGCTAGTAAAGGTCCAGAAGATGAGGAAAATAGAGAAGATATCATCAAGAGAAAGTTTGATATTCCATTAGAGGAACAATGCATTACATTCTTCTCATCCAATGTTAGACAAGATGAAAACTCTTTCAAATCTTCCATATTTGTATTTACAAGTAGTTTCTGTTTCTATGCTGTTCAAGCAACCTTCTATGAAAAATTCACATGGAATAGAATTGAGAACATTGTGCAAACTTCCAACACTTTGAAAATCTCCATTAAAGATTACGGAGAGATTGAAGTTTGTGATATTGAAAAGGAAAATTGTGAAACATTCCTTGATCAATACAAACACTCAAAGGCCTCTCTCAAACGTCAAGAACCAAAGAATGATAATATTTCAAATATGTTGACACAAGAAGAAGCTCAAACATACTTCTTCCAAAGATTCCAAATTGATAAGATTTGTTCAAGAGAAAAGTTAATTACCTATTTCCTTCTTTCCACGAATTCACAAGAACCAACTGGTATTGCCTTTATTGGAGAACAATATTTTTGTTTCGAATGGATGAAACCTCAAAAGAAAGATACTGTCATTCCATTTACCTCAATCAAATCTGTGAAAAAATTACAAAATGTAGACAATCAAGAATCTCCAATTTTAGGAACACTTTCAATTTTAACTAGTCATGGATTAACATTTGAATTACCAATTATTCAAAGCAAACTTGAGTTTGATTCTCTTTACAATTTATTGAGATCAAAGATTAGAAGAAATCAAAATGAAACTTTGAATCCATTCTCAATGGTTAGTTCAGTTATTGGAAATGTTGGTAGTACACTTATCAATAGTGCTAAATCTATAATATAAAGATGTGTATGACCTTTCGACTTGTACTTTTTTGGCTCGTCCTAATAAATAGATTCGAATAAATATAGAATTGATAGCTTCCTTCCAATCATGTTTTCATTTCTACTAATTTGATTTCAAATAGTCATGATTATTTTACCTTCTCTAAAAAGAGAAGATATTCGAATCTATGATCTAGCATCGATACCCATTTTCAAGAACAACACAATAACCAACATGTACAAATAATCATACAAAAAATGTCAGAACGTTTATTTGCACTATTAGATTCATCATCAGTAATTGTAAATGGTGAAGGTTATACGAATGTTACCTTGGATCAAATGAAACCTATTTGGGCCAGTGGTTTAGTACTTTCGAATACAATAATATTTCTCATTCTCTTTTCAGTTTACATTTTCGTTCTTATTGGATTCATCATTAGAGTTACAAGAAAACTGAAACTAAAGAGAAACCAAACGATACTGTTCATTATGACTGGTATTTATGTAACAGTTCAAATATTTAGTTTACTTGTAAGAGTTGTAAACGAAACCTTACAATTAGTCATCAGAGAAAAGATTGAAGCAGGACAATTAATTGAATGGAAATTATTTATTGCCATGCAAGTATTTCTTGGTCTGAACAGTTTTACAATGACAAGTAATTTCTTGACACTGTTTTCAATCATTGTTTTCGTTCAAAACATGTTGTAAGTATTCGAATTTCCAAAATATTTTAACACACAAATACTAGTTGGAGTACAGCTACACTGATGAGAGCCATCACTAAGGAAACCTCCAAAATTATTCGAACCTCAATGACCATTATTGCCACATTATTTGTCATGTTGGCCATTTTGATCATTCTCCTAATTGGTATCATGTCTGGTATTAAGAGATTTGATTTCATTCCAAAAGAATATGCAACTGCCATTCAAGTTGTATCATTTGTAGTTGGAGGATGTGTTATAGTATTCGTTGGGTGTATGTTAATTGCCTCTGGAATAATTGTTGTGAGAACTATTCAGAAAACATCCAAGAATGTCACTAAAGCAGTTTCTGAACATCACAAATCAGAGAGTAAAATGAGTGCTACAGAGAGTCAAAATTCCAGTTCAAGAACTTCATTTGATAAGGTTTCGTTTGAGAAGAGAGTTCAATCTCCATTCAAAATTACTTTCGGATTATTGATTGGTTTGTTGCTATGTATGGCTCTACAACTTGTTGCCATAGCCATTGCTGCAGGAGCCTCAGAATTGGCCAACTACTCTGTAATTTGGCAATTCCTCAATTGTACTGGAGTCTTGATATTTGGTATTTTGATTCTCTTCTTGTTTTATCCACTATTTAGAGATATGGAAATTGCAATGAAAGAAATTGAAAAGAGAAAGGAAACTCTCTCTCAAAAGAAACTCCATAAGGTTTCTCACTTACAAGTTCCCCTTCAAAATGGTTCATCATCCTCAACAACATTGAAGGATCATTCTATGAGTGGAAGTGAAAATAATTTCCTTTCTCTACCTTCGAGCAGCTCATGTGGTGACATGTCTCCAACAACCCCCTCAGCAATTTCATTCTCCACTGAAGTATTGGTCATTCCATCAGAGAATAACATCTCTGCAAATAACATTTAATTAACAATAACACAATTTAACAAAATTTAAAAATAATAAAAAATGCCAAAACCACAATAATTGAAAAAAGTAATTTACTCTCAAATTGTAAGCATTAAAATTGAGTGTTGGAAGGTATCACGTATATGGTTCGATTCCTATTAGTGCTATCTTGTACTGAAAGTACATGGCGTAGCCCGTGAATTGCTTCCTCTACCAATTACGATGAATTAAAGTCGGCTGAATGGCACGTGTAAGCTGTTTCAGTCTAACCCATTGATCGTTCATTCTTTGAGATTTTTTGGATAGCAAATATCTTGAAGAAGAACACTGTACCATATTAATGATTGAGCTTGTTTGAGTTCTGTTAGAGAAAGTTCAACACAGAGGGCTCCTCCAAAATTATTGAGACAACATGTTTGAATGTCTTTGGGTGGAATGTTTCTGGTTTGAGGATTCTCCTGAATGACATCTTGTTTTGTTCCAATAAATACAAGTTCGAGGGGAGTTTGCCTTAATCGTTTGATTTGTGGAATATTTTCATTAATTAAATGGACTAATGTTTCTCTTTTTGTCAAATCAAAAACTTCCATAATCATTGTAGTATTATTCACATATGCAGGTTGTAGTTGGGAATAAGGGGAATCCCATACTTGAACTTTGTATATGTTGGTCAACACTTCTGGAAATGAAAAGATTCTCGCAGCAAAATCAATTCCAATTGAAGGATAATAGTCCTTATTCACAATAGCGTCATCTCTTAACGAAGCATTCAGAAACGATGTCCTTCCAGTTGCACGATAGCCATCGAGAGCTATTTTACAAACAATTTCAGTCACTGGTTCTTTCTCCACAACCCTATTCTTGTTAATATCAACAATGATTGGTTCGTCATTCGTCTTTTCCTGTTTTTTTGGTTGTTTTGAGAATAAACTCGAAATCATTTTAAAGAGTCCAGTCTTTTCAGTCTTCTTTTCGATCAAATTTAACTTTGGAATTGAAAAATGTGAAAAATAAAATTGAATTTGTTCAAATTCTTCCAACAAGTACTCATTACAATCGATAGAAGCAAGAGGAGGTTTAGAATTCTGATTTAAATTTTGAAAATCATATAATTTCAATGAAAATTCATAAAGAAATCTTCTCAATTCCATTCTAATAAAATTTCTTCCAATTTTCACCGTTTTGAAATAATTGTAATCAGTGATCTCATCATCAATAGGATCGGAATGAATTCTCTTTAAATTATCTAGTAAAATTGGAAAGGCAATTTCTCTTCTCCATGTCAATGAAACATTTCCACTCACAAACATGTTCTCCAAATTGCTCATGAAAGAACAAATAATTCGAATCACCTCTATTGGCACATTGGCAATCTGAGGAATCATTCTTGTATTGTTGACCATTTTTTTTAATTATTCTAATTATTAAATCAATCATGTTACAACAGGTACTTTGGCGTGTAATCGTAATGTTCTCTTCATGTTCTTGATTATTTACTATTGGATTATTATAACCCTTCTTTTAAATTGAAACATTTTTAATCGAAAGTAGTACAACTGTCACCAATCCGTTATTAATTAAAATTATATTTAAAATAGATTGTGGTCAATTAATTCAAAATCTTAATCTTTTTAAAGGCTTCAAATCATTTTGTGGATAACCATTGCAATTCAATCAATTTTAAATTTTTTTAAAAATGAAGTAAATTAAAAAATGAATACACTAGGTGGAGGATTTCGTTTTGCACAACAACCAACACAAAAAGTTGATTGGAGCAAGCTGTCGATGATAGAAAAGATGCAACATTTAGTTAAACAAATTGGTGGTAATTTAGTACAATTCCATTGGGCCTTGTTCCCAATCTTCTTTTTGATTGGCGTTAATTATACACCATACGGACATGCTCCACTTTCATTCTCTACTAAATTATATAGCTTGTTAGCCTTCCTTCCTCTCCCAATTCCAATGGCTCCTCTTGACCAACTTGAACAAACCTTCCAAATGCAACAACAAGCCCAACAACAACAAATGGGTGGATATCAAATGTAAAGAAGATTTTCTCCATCATCACCAACATCAATTTATATAATTTAACCCGACGAAATGACACAACTTCTCACTCTTATAAAAACAAAAAATTAATTCCGAATGTTACCACTGTTAATTATTGTTTTTTACATTATTAAATGTGATTTTGTTGTTAATTAAATCATGATAGTAATTTAGAAAATTGATTTCAACCATTGATTTCAAATCCAATTCAAATCGTTCATTAATCTTCCAGAATTTCATTACCACGTAGTGTTTGAATGGAACCCAATCTCATAAGTACAGCATCAGACAGATCTATTCATTAAGATTGGAAGAGTAGTCTTTTGAATCGTTTTTGAATTCTTTCATTCAATGTTTAACCATGTGGTTTTCATCTACAATTCAGAGAATGAGGTAACAATACTTGGAATAATGTAAATGGTTTATCTTAATTACATAACTTGTGCAAACATCAAATCAGAAAATGAAGGCGGCTGCTTCAACAAGTTTTTTCATTAAAATTTGATTGTAAAATATTTTTTAGCCAGTTGTCCGCACAAGTTTTAAATTTTTCTGTTGAAAAAAAACAAACTAGAGGTCTACCCACAAAAATGGTCAAAAGAGCAAAGAGACAATTGTCAAAGGACGAAAAGCAAAAGTTGAAGGAACAATACGTTGAATCCTTCATTAACATGTTGGACAAGTACACCAAGATTATCTTCGTTGAAGCTAACAACGTTAGATCCAAGCAAATGGCTGACATCAGAGTCGGTTTGAGAGGAAAGGGTGAATTGCTCATGGGTAAGAACACTTTGATGAAGAAGGCTATCAAGGTTTTGACTTCTGCTCCAGAAAAGTACAAGTCATTGGCTGCTCAAGCTGCTAACATTGCCAAGATTGCTGATCTCCTCAAGGGTAACGTTGGTTTGGTCTTCACTAACAATGATTTGAACGAAGTCAAGGACGTTATTCTCTCATACAAGGTTGGTGCTCCAGCTAAGCAAGGTGCCATCTCCCCAGTCAAGGTCGTCATTCAACCAGCTAACACTGGTCTTGAACCAACCAAGACTTCTTTCTTCCAAGCCCTTAACATTAACACCAAGATTACCAAGGGTACCGTCGAAATTATCAAGGAACACATTCTCTTGAACCCAGGTGATAAGGTCGGTTCCTCAGAAGCTGCTTTGTTGCAATTGTTGAACATTAAGCCTTTCGAATATGGTTTGGTTTTGGTTAACATTTATGACAACGGTGCTGTTTACTCACCAACTGTCCTTTCTTTGACTGACGAAGTTATGGAATCAAAGGTCAGAGATGCTGTCAACAATGTTGCTGCTCTCGGTTTGGCTTTGGATATGCCTAATGAAGCTTCTATTCCTCACTCTGTTGCTAACACCTTCAAGAACTTGTTGGCTATTGCTGCTGGTACTGAATTCTCATTCCCACAAGCTGAAAAGGTTAAGGAATACCTTGCTGATCCAAGCAAGTTCGCTTCCTCTGCTCCAGTTGCTACTGCTAACACCACTGCTGCTGTTGTTGAAGACAAGAAGGAAGAAGAAGAGGAAGAAGAAGAAATGGGCTTCGGTGGTCTTTTCTAAATTATTTAAAAAAATTAGAAAAAAAAGCAGCTCTATTGATGCTTTATTAAATAACCCGGTTTAAACGGGGGGTCATATCATAAGATATTGAGCTTAGGCCACCTCGGGACTCTAGTAAATCAATTTTAATAAAACTAAGATGGATCTGTAAATAATCAAAGAGCTTTGTTCTGTTGCAATTTAATACTTTTTGGCACATGTGAAATCCAGCTGATTTTTCGATTCTCCCAGATTCTTAATAATGAAAAATTTACTAAGTCAATTCAGCCATTTTGCACCAGCTTGTATCTACTAACCCATCATAGGCAAAATTCATTCTCTCTCTAAGTAAAATATTAAAATCGTCGTGTTTTGATATTTGAAAATATGTACATTCCATGGTATTTCAATTGTAGCATTTCATATTCTGAGTTTGTATCATTACTAAAGAGAGTCCAGTAAGTATAAGGAGAGGCTTTGATTGCTCTCAAAACAAAATCCTTACTGTCTAATAGATGAGTTGGAATTTGGTTGTACCAAAAATCGTATTGTTTGATTTGCATACATGTCAGCAAAACATCCTCATTCTCTTTCAAATATGGAGGAACAATACTAAAGGCAACCCTTCTTTCCAAAATTAAATTTGTGAGCCTTTCCTTAAAATCTATATCATTAGAAAACAAATCACCAATACATATATTATCTGGTTTCAATTCAATGGCTTGCAAAATAAATTCCTTATCAGTTCTAAAGTTGGGTAAATACTCAATGCATAGTGCATTACCATTGACACATTGCAAAGCAAACTCTGAATCATTCAACAACTTCTCTGTAGCAAATACCAACAAAGACGGATTCAATCGAACAGCACTAAGAATTACACTTCTATCATTTTGGATGAATAAACTTTCATCCAGAGAAATTTTGGTTCGACTATTATCAATTTCATCATACTCCTCCATAAACATTGGAAAATTATCATCTAAATTGAATCTTGATCTATTGTAATGATTGTTGACTCTTTGAATGGTAAAAATTCCTCCTCATTCAGTAAATCATTTGGTAGATATGGTAAAATTTTACATCCTTCATTGAGAGCCATCAATAAAAACTCCTTGTCTTTGACCAATTCTGTAAATTCAATCATTGATGGATCATTTCTCAAGCATGCCATCATTATTTCCTTATCTTGTCTCATTATTTCTGGAATAAATTTAAATCCCAAGTAATTATTCTTGACAAATTGTAAGCAAAATTCTCGATCTTTGAAACTATCCAAATTTTTCAAATCCTCATCTAGAAGTGTAATATTTTCTAATGCAACAATCAATACAATCTCTCTATCTAATTTCAAATGTGGTGCCAATAATTTAACAGAATAAATATTGACATTTCTTTGGATAGCTGACAACACAAGTTCTCTACATGTCCAAATAAATTCAGGCAATTCACTCGCTCTAGAATTCCAATATAAAACCATACATTCCACAGCTACTTGAGGATATCTTTCGAATATTGATTCGGGAAAGTTGACGTAACCATTTTTAACAGCAGCCAAAATAATTTCCTCATCATTTCTCAACTCTTCACTCGCAAATTCAATCATTGACCCATTACTTCCAACAGCAGATAACACCACATTCCTATTGGCTTTACATTCGTCAGAGAGAAATTCCAATTCTGTTCCTTTAAAGTGTACAATCATTTGTGCAATTTCTGGATCTTTCCTAGCTGTTTCTGAGGCTTGAAACAACAGATCTGAATAACAATTCTTAAACGCAAGTCTAAATAATGATTTCCTATTCAAAACAAATGGTAATTGTTTTACAATGTGTGAATAATTCAATGGAAAATTCTTCATTGCCATAATTACCAAATAATCATCAAATAAAAATTCAATAGGAAGATGCTGATAAGTGTGTGATGCTGCAATTGATTCGGATCTTCTACGCAATCTCTGTAATTGAATGAAATTTACTTGAGCTTGTAACCATTTAGTATAGCCTTTACGTTGTTCATTAAATTTTTCTCTCAATTTATGGTAATACACATTGTTGGAGGGTTGATGAGAATGCAACAACAGCAGCAGGATAGTTCATCGTCAATGTGAGACATTTTTTTAAAAGTACAAATTATTTAAAATATTAAAAATTGATCAAGTTTAAATTCTTTCTTGTTCTCCTTCCTCCTCTTCATCTTTTGTTTCAGAGTTTTCTTCTTCATCGTCCATAGATGATAACCAGTGGACCTAGCGCGAATTGTTGAAAATCACCATTTGGTCAACTGACACATTTCGAAAGTATTATTGAAAAATAGAAATTTCTTTGGATTTGTTATTAACAACATAGAGTAAACCAGTTCGCTTATCAACAAACAATCCGAAATTTCTTGAAATGGCATTAGAATCTTCAAATGTTTTAACAATTGAGAAATCAAACAATCTAATGACAAAAATTCGATGATTTTCAGTATCAGATAAGTAAACTAATCCAGATTCCTTCTCATAAAATATTGAATAGGCAGTAGAACACTTGGGAATAACCACTCTTCTTTTAGAAATCCAATTATTTTCTTGTTTTTTGAAAATTTCTAAAGATTGTTGATTGGATGTCAATATTTCACTTTCAGATAAAAATTCAATTCCATATCCATTAAATAAATGAATAACATCTTCACCTTCATCCTTTCCTGTTTCCTTATTTGCTTTACAAATTACTGATCTATTGTAATCTAGAAAAAACACTTGATTTCCCATCAAATCTAATCCCCAAATATTCATGTTTGATTTTTTACATTCCCACACAATTCCTTCCTTTCCTTCCATCAAATCCTTCACTCTAATTTTAATAATTCCTCCACTTTTACTTGCATAAATAAATTCCTCTGAATTCTCAGTCACCAATCGCAAGCAATGAAACGAAAATTCCCAATACTTGATGTTAAATAAAAGGGAATTTTCAGAGGTGACAGCTTTTGATTTATCGAAAATCATCAATGATGATCCACCAACTACAATGAATATGTCGAAACAATTAGAAATAGCAATATCAAAGTTCTGCTCGAAATTAGCTGCGTTCAACTTTAATATTCGGCTTCAGTACAACTCCTAATTCCAAGAAATAATCAACCAGCTTCCAACTTGAGAATTTTTTCCTGCGCTTTTGAAATGTTTCCCTAAAAACTGTGCACTTCCTAAACAACTAGTCAAATTGTGGGAGTTTAGGAAGTGTAGTTTGAGGTGTTACTCCATGAGACAATTAAAGAACTTTTGGAGATATTCATTCTTGTTCCAAACATAAAAAAAAATGGTAAAATTGACAACTGGCATTATACTTTTACTTCTCATCACATTTACTGTTGTGTTGACAGAATGTGTACAAGTAAATTTAATAGACTCTAATCCGACTCTTCAAAGATATCTTTTGAGAGGAGATTCACCAGTGATTGGACTAAACTTGGACATGAAAACTCTCCAAACAGCAATTCAAGCAGAAATCAAGAGTAAAACCAATCAAAACGTAGATGACTTTTATTTGGTCGATATTTCAGTGTTAAAAGTTGATTCTGTTGTTCAAGAAGAAGCATACTTCGCCATGCATTCCAAAGAAGGTGAATTTATTCATTGGCCACTTGTTGGAAATCCAGCAAATATTTCAGGACTTCCAGAATGGTTACAAGCAAGTTTAGTTGTAGAAGGTCAAGGTGTTTGGAATTTGGAAGATCAACTTATTGGAAGAGTTGACCAATTAACACATTGGGTTCACAACAAGACCTCAATCAATAATTTAAAATCACATCATCAATCAAATATTGTTTTCTTTATTCATGATGATAATGGAGTTGATCAAACTGGTGAAATTAGTGGAGCTTATTATTTGGCTAATTTTGGATGGACTTGGAGTAAGACTTTGCTTTACAATTCATTGATTCATAAGAAGTATCAACCAATGCCAAAGTGGAATATTAATGAAATGAATTGGTATTGTTTCTATTTGTATTTCAATAATAAGGGACCAGATACTTGTAATTATTAACATTTGTAATGAAATAGTATTACAATAGATTGATATTCAAATAGAAATTGTTATTTATTATAAATTATTCTCACTATAATAACTTGCTTCTACTTGTAATGAATTCGCATTTCCTCTTCTTACTAATCCAGTTGTCTCTAGGGAGTATAGTTCGCTATTGCTTTTCTTTTTCCAATAAATTCCACAAGAAAGAATTACAATTAAAGCTCCAATTAAGGATAATGTCAATAGTACAATAGTTACAATAAATCCAGTGACACTTTGACCAATTAAATGTTGAGATGAAGATGATGCCGATCGTACATTCAATTGAGCAACAGATGGTAAAAGTGTAAATTGGGAGAAACCTTCACTAGGACCCTCAATTACAATGAAATAAATTTGAGAATTTGATGAAGGATTATCCAATGATTGAATGTGATTTGAAAACATTCTTAAGGAATAGTGTTGATTTGTTGGTTTGAAATTTTCACCAACCAACACAAGAATATCTTTTCCAGATAAGGTGGAACATGAAAGAGACAATCTTGAATGGGATGGAATGGTTATTCGATAGAGAGATGATTCTCCTGCTTGAATTTTCTTGGAAATTGTTGAATCTTTAATAAGTGGAATTCCATTTTCTCTTTCGAATGAAGTTATTGGTTGAGGAGATGGAACTGGTTGAGGTGGAGCAGGACCTTTCGAATAACTTGGAATTGGTGTTGGCAGAGATGGTTTAGGAGGAATAAGAGTTGGTTCAGGTTTTGGCGGAGCAATGGAAGGTTCTGGTGGAATTGATGGAGTTGGATTAGGAGGAATTGGAATGAAAATCTTCTTGGCTACAAGATAGAGCTGATACGAGTTGACCATCACATTTTCTTGACAATTCAAATGGAAAAAACCATCCATAAATGTGGCCTTTTCTGGAGA